TGACCTGGGGCCCAGGGTTCTACTGTCCTGCTCTGTGATTGCTTGGTTTCATGAGTCAGTTGACCAGGGGCAGAGATGGCTCTGCTCTGACTGAGCCAAACTGTGTTTCTTTCTACCATGATCTGAGCCATCTTTCTCTAGTTCTGGGCTCCAGGGTCAGGGTGGGTTTCTTTTGCCAGCCCCTTTTCCCGACACTATCAGTAAAGGCCATATCATCTACCCATTGTTGCACCCATGTCATGAAACCCTAGAGACCACCAAGGAGCCAGTTTCTGATGCAAACACACGAGGGTCTTTTTATTGTCAGGTTTGAACCTGGGCCACCACCCATTGGATGGAGTGAAATGTGCTAAATGGAAACAGAATTAAACTGACTCAAAACAGCTTATCATTATATGCATAGATCAATGGACCTTGCATCCTTCATCTTAGATCCTTCTAAATGAAGTATATTGTGATGGTACATAACTGGTGGTACATAACTGGCCAAAGTGGAGAGACTAAGGGACTGGAGGATGCTCAGTCTTAAAGCAACATATATAGCTCGATCCCCTCCTAGGTCTCAGGAATCATTGGAAGATTTGGCAAGAAGAGCAAATAAGAGGCAAGGGTGAGCTCTATTCCCCTAGACCCAATCTCATCTTGTGCCTATTGATACAACAGATCACTAGCTGAAACTATCCTTCCCACTGCCTATGTCTCCTGTAGATTCCAGAGACCAGCCCCTCTTAACCTTACTCCCCCAACTCATTGAGGAATTCCAGCTTCCAATACCAGCAAGCATTCCCTGTGAACACACCAGCCAAGCAGGCCAGTAAATCAGGCAACACACAGCCATCACACTCTCTGAAAATGTAGACAGGAAACTGAAACCAAAGAACATAATACTCACCCAACAAAGATACTCCCAGAAATCAGCACTTAACTTATAATCATCCCAAACTCAGATACCAAAATGCCAGCATAACAACATAATCAGAAACAGTCAGGGCAATATATCTGCACTAGAGCTCAGCTATTCTACCACAGCAGGTCCTGAATATTCCAAAATAGCTGAAACAAAAGAAAATAATATTAAAACCAGCTATATGAAGAGGAAATGAATAAATTCCTTAATGCAATCCAGGAAAACACAAATGAACAATTGGAGGAAATGAATAAATCCCTTTTAAAAAGCCAGGAAAGCAGAAACAATTGGAAGAAATGAATAAACCATTTAAAGACAGCCAAAGAAAAAAACAGTTGAAGAAAATGAATAAAACTGTTCAAGACCTGAAAATGGAAATAGAATCAATTCAATAAAGAAAACACAAACTGAGGGAATCTTGGAGATGGAAAATCTAGTTAAGTGAACAGGAACTACAGATATAAGCATCACCAAAAGAATACAAGACATGGAAGAAAGAATCTCAGGCACTGAAGATTTGATAAAAGAAATGGATACATCAGTCAAAGAAAATATTAAATCTAAAAAGTTCCTGACACAAAACATTCAGGAAATCTGGGACACTATGAAAAGACCAAACCCATGAATATTAAGAATAGAGGAAGGAGAAGAAACCCAGCTTAAAGGCCTAGAAAATATTTACCACAAAATCATAAAAGAACATTTTCCTAACCTAAAGAAGGAGATTCTTATAAAAGTAAAACAAATGCACAGAACAGCAAATAAATTGAATCAAAAAATAAAGACTCCTCACTACATCATAATCAAAACACAAAACATACAAATTCCAAGAAATAATATTAAAAGCCATTAGGGAAAAAGACCAAGTAACACATAAAGGCAGGCCTACTAGAATTACACCTGATTTCTAAATGGAGATGCTAAAAGCCAGAAGGGCTTGGACACATGTGTGGCAGAGTCTAAGACATCAGAGATTCCAACTCAGAGTACTAAACCCAGGAAAGCATTCAATCACTATAGATGGAGAAAATAAGATACTCAATGTTAGAATCAAATTTAATATCTATCTATAGAAGGTGTTTCTTAGAAGGAAAGCTCCAACCGAAGGAGGTTAAGTACACCCATGAAAACACAGGAAATAAATAATCTTACACCTGCAACACCAAAAGGAGGGAAACACACACACACACACACACACACACACACACACACACACACACACACACATATACAAACCCCACAAAAACCAACTAGACAGGAAAGCACATATGAAATTCTATGAAGCATCAATTATGAGTTTTAAAGTATTTTTTGCTTTAGAAAGTTTACTTTTAATTAAAATGTTTCATATATTAGCACAAAATGGGCTTTATTTGCATTTTAAATAAAGTACATTTTTAAAATATTTTTATCTTGATGTATTAAATGCCAATTTTACAGAAAATGTCTAAGGAAAGTATATGAGATTGCATGACTTTAAAAAGGGATCTCTAAGAGACAGGCTGATCTCTAAAGCTTTGAGGCTAGCCTGATTTGCATAGTAAGTTCCAGTATCTGGCATGGGCTCCCTCTCTCAAAGTGAGCCTCAAGTCATATTAGACCTCGGTTGGACACCTCCACAAGTTTTGTGCCATCATTGACCCAGCACATCTTACATGCAGGGCAGATTGTAGGTCAAACGTTTTATGGCTGGGTTGATGTCCATGCCTTCCTGAACCAAAGATACAAGAATGTAGGTGTGAAGGCTCCATACAGGCACCAGCTTGACCTCTTCTCAGTGAGCTACATGGATGCTGTCCTCAGCAATGGGGCCATGCTGTCACTTTAGGAAGAGCAACCTTCTATCATAGCATCAGTCTGGGTTGTTTGGATCTCCACAAGATCCCCTCAGCCAACAACTCAACCCAACACAACCCAGTCCTACCACTGAAAGTCTTCCCCAAATACAAGAGATGGTCAGCTGATACTATGTATCCTCATTACTAGGTGACCTTACTGAGGTCATATATTCTATGAAGTTTCCATGCATTAGGTTTCCACACACAGACTCAGAAATCCCTCAATTCCAGTCATCTTTCCAGTACTCTCTCTCTCTATTTTCCTCATCTGATTCCCTCCTGTTTCTACCCCCACCTGACCCCAGTTCACTCAAGTCCTCCTTGTTACTTAGCCTCTCTGTGTCTGTGAATTGTATCATTGTTATTCTTTACTTTACAGCTAATATCTACTTATAACTGAGTACATATCATCCTTGTCTTTCTGAGTCACAGTTACCTCATTCAGAATGAATTTTTTTCTAGTTCCATCCATTTGCCTGCAAATTTCATGATGTCATTTTTTTTCAAACAGCTTAATAACGTTCCATTCTGTAAACACATTACAGTTTCTTTATCCATTCTTTGGTTGGGGGTTATCTATATTGTTTCCAGTTTCTGGCTATTATGGATAAAGCCTCTATGAACATAGTTGAGCAAATGTCCTTGTGGTAGGGTGGAGAGTCATTTGGGTACATGTCGAAGAGTAGAGCTTGGCCTTGAGGCATATTGAGTCCCACTTTTCTGAGGAACTTCCATATTAATTTCTATGCTGGCTGTACAAGTTTGTATTCCCACCAGAAATGAAGGGGTGTTGCCCTTTCTCCACAACTTCACCAACATAATCTGTCACTTGTGCTATTCTGACAGGTATAAGAAGGACTCTCAAAGTAGTTTTGACTTGCATTTCAATGATGGCTTTAAGTGTTTCTCAGCAATTTGAGATTCTTGTATTTAGAATTCTCTGATTAGATCTGTACACCAGTTTTAAATTGGATTCTTTGGTTTGTTGATATCTAGTTTTTTGAGCTATTTATATATTTTGGATATTAGTTCTCTATCAGATGCTGAGTTGGTAAAAATCTTTTGCCATTCTGTAGGCAACTGGTTTGTCAAATTGAAAGTGTCCTTTGCCTTTCAGAGCTTTTCAATTTTGTGAGGTCCCATTTATTAATTATTGGTCTTAGTGTCTATGCTATTGGTGTTGTGTTTATAAAGTTTTCTCCTGTGTCAATTCACTCAAGATTATTTGCCACTTTCTCTTCTATTAGGTTCAGTGTATCTGGTTTTATGTTGAAGTCTTTGATCCATTAGACTTGAGTTTGTGCAGTGTAATAAATATGGATCTATTTGCATTCATTTACATGCAGACATCTAGTTTGACCAGCACCACTGTTGAAGATACTGTCTTTTTAAAAATTTCTGGCTTTTTTTTTTTTTTTTACCAAAAATCAGGTGTCCGATGAGGTGACACAGACACCTAGGAAGAACCAAATGCATCTGCTATAAAAAAAAAAAAAAAATCAATGAAATGATTCCTAGTGATATTCTACTATACTCACAGATCAGTGCCTTGTCCACTTGTTATCAGAGATGCTTCCTCTATCAGCAGATGGGAGCAGGTGCAGAAACCCACAAGTAGACATTATGTGGAGAGAGTTGAACCTGGATGTTTCCATCAGGAATCCTGAAGAGGAGCAGGCAGAAAGACTATAGGAGTCAGACAGGATGGAGGTCACCAGAACACAGCCCACTGAATCAACTAAGCAGACTGCCTATGAGCTCACAAAGACTGAAGAGGGAAGCAGGAGCCCTGTATGGGACTTCACCAGGTCCTCTGTATGTATATTGTGGCTGTTAGTTTTGTGGTTTTGTGAGATTCCTGACTGTGGGAGACAGTGGGTCTCTGACTCTTTTGTCTACTCTTGAGAGTTTTCTCTTCCTGTTGGGTTATCTTGTGCAGCTTCATGTGACGGTGTTTGCCTTGTCTTATTGTATTTTGTATTGTAGTGTTTGGTTGCTGTCTCTTGGAAGGCTTCTCTTTTCTGATGGGAGATGGAGGGAGAATGAATGCAGAGCAGAGAGAAGAAGGGGAGTGGAGGGAAAGGAATCTGTGTTTGGGATGTATTGTATATGAGAAGAATCTATTATTTTAAAAATGAACTAGCAAGCTAGGGTATTTTATAATTTTCTAGCAATTTTTCAATGTTTACTTCAATTATACAAATTGATTTGAAATTTACATCTAGTATAAACATTTAAAAGATGGTAAGTAGTAATTATGAGAGAAAGCCATTTATTCTTGTTCATAATATTGTTGAGATTACAATTAAACAGAGACAAGATGCCAATAAACTATAAGGTAATTACTGTAGTTATAGACACACAAAACTTCTACAAAATAACTAATATGAATTATTTCAAAATTGCTAGTCAAGAGATTTTGAATGTGCCAATTATCCTAAGCTAGTCATCATAAACTGGAGATATGCAATGAAATGTCACACTATAGCCCATAGATACATACAATAACAACAATTAAAATGAAAAACAGTGCTGTGAGTGTAGCTCATGGTAAATTGATTGCCTAGAGTCAATCCATAAGATTGAGAGGATGTGAAAAATCATGAAAGTCTTCTAAAGGATGCCACTATTGAATATGTTTTTTTTTCTAATCCACAGCTCTTCTAACTCTGAGATCAAGAAGGTACAAAGAACAGACTTTCAAGATCTAAGTCAGTTTTAAAGTTGTCAATATAAAATGACCACAGTTCCCTCAAGTTTGCCACCAAAATGTACTCAACTGTATCAAAAGAAACTCACCAGTAATCTAATATATAGATTCAGTATGTTATACAAAGTACCAATAAAAGATGTAGGTTGGACTATGGGAGTTGTGTACAAAATCCTGTACAGACACATCAGTAAATTACCAATTTGTATGTGCATCAAACTATTATAATCTTATTCTATTTTCCTTATACAAAGAAGATACTACTATAAAAGAAACCTTCAAAGACAGATGCATCAGGAATATCCCCATTTCTAGCCCTTCCATTTAATTACCTACAACTTTTATTTCCTTAAAGAAAAAAGTCCCCAGGGGCTGGAGAGATAGCTCAGTAGTTAAGAGCACTGGCTGCTCCCCCAGAGGTCCTAAGTTTAATTCCCAGCAACCACATGGTGGCTCACAACCATCTATATAGGGATTTCATGCCCTCTTCTGACACAAATGTGTACATGCAGATAGAGCACTCACATACATTAAATAAATAAATCTTTCAAAAAAAAGAAAGAAAAATACTCTTGGGTTCTATATGGCAAAAAGGAAACATGTACAGGTCAAAATGTTCAGAAGAAAATTTGAAATGATACTTCAAATACCTGTTAAGTCAAAAGACAGCAGATGATATAGGAACTGGGGCACCTGGAGCTGCAACTGCAGCCTACCATCACCAGACAGGAGGCATTTACAGAAGTTCCTCTATCTGCACCACCACTCACCAGACATTTCTGAATGCCATGGTTGGAGGTGTGTGGCTAGCTAACCTAGCAGGTATAATAACAAATTTACAATACAAGGTAGTCTCTCTGGCAAAGAATGGACTGATCCAAAATGTCACATTGCTAAACACAGTTGAAAGAGATCAGGGCTCTTTCCCTAGAAAAGACAATGTATTTTTTTTCTAACCATATTCACTATTCAATTATTTATTCATTTTATTTATTTATTCTATTCATTTACAATGAATTTCTTCAGATTGATGAATAGAGTTGAAAAAGAAGTGGCCTCTTTTCCTAGCAAAGACCATGCATTTCTTGTAAGCATCCTCACTATTCTATTCACATTGCTAAATGCAGTTGAAAGAGAAGTTGCCCCTTCTCTTTATCCATTCTTCTAAATGTAATCACAATTGTATTCACATTGCTAAACACAATTGAAATAGAAATGGCCTCTTTTACTAGCAAAGACAAGCTTTTCTTCTAAACATACTCACTATTCTATTCACCTGAAAGAGAAATGGTCTCTTCTTAGCAGAGACAATACAAATAGGAGTGGCCTTTTATCTAGAAAAGAAAATGTGTTTCCTCAAAGCATACTCAATATTCTAGTCACATTGATAAATAAAGTTGAAAGAGAAATTACCCCTTTTTCCTAGCAAAGACAAGGTGTTTCTTCTTAGCATACTATTATATTCACTTTGCTAACTACAGTTGAAAAAGAAATGGCCTCTTTTGCTAGCATTGACAATGCATTTCTTCCTATAATACACATTACTCTATTCACATTGCTGAATATAGTTGAAAGATAAGTTGCCTCTTTTCCTAGCAAAGACAATGTGTTTTCATCAGAGCATACTCACTACTCAATTCACATTTCTAAATACAATTAAAAGAGAAGTTGCCTCTTTTCCTAGCAAAGACAATGCATTTCTTGTGAGCATACTATTCTATTCACATTTCTAACTACAGTTGAAGGGAAATGGACTATTTTATTAACAAAGACAATGCATTTCTTCTAAGCACACTCACTACTCTATTCACATTACTGAATACAAATAAGGGAGAAATGGCCCATTTTTCTAGAAAAGAAAATATATTTCTTCTGAGCATACTCACCATTCTATTCACATTGCTCAATACAATTGAAAGATAAGTGGCCCTTTTTCCTAGCAAAGACAATATTCTTAGCTACTCATTATTATATTCACTTTGCCAGCCACAGTTGAAAGAAAAATAGACTCTTTTCCTCGCAAAAACAATGTGTTTCATCGGAGCTTACTCACTATTATATTAACATTGCTAAGTCTGATTGAAAGAAAAGTTGCCTCTTGTCCTAGCAAAGACAATGTATTTCTTTTGAGCATACTCACTATTCTATTCACATTGCTGAATACAAATAAAAGAGAAGTGACCTCTTTTACTAGCAAAGACAGTGCATTTTTTCTAAGCATACTTGTTATTTTATTTACATTGATAAAAATAGGTAAAAGAGAAGTAGCCACTCTTCCTAGCAAAGACAATGTGTTTCTTTAAGTGTACTCACTAGTATAATTACATTGCTAAATGCAATTGAAAGAGAAGTGGTCTCTTTTCCTAAGTCAATGTGTTTCTTCTTCTAAGAGCACTCACTACTCTACACATTGCTAACTACAGTTAAAAGGGAAATGCCCTCCATTTCCTAGCAAAGACATTGTGTTTCTTCTAAGAATATTCACTATCCTATTCACATTGCCAAGTCCATTTGAAAGAGAAATGTCTCCTTTTCTTAGCAAAGACAGTGTGTTTCTTCTAACTGTACTCACCATTATATTTACCTGGATAAATATATTTGAAAAAGAAGCAGCCACTGTTCTATTCACATTGTTTAATATAGTTGAATAGAAGGGGCCTCTTTTCCTAGCAAAGACAATGTTTCTTCCAAGCTTGCACACTATTCTATTCACATTGCTGAATACAGTTGAAAGAGAAGTGTCCTCTTTTCCTAGCAAAGACAATGTGAATATTCTAATCATACTCACTCTTCTATTCACATTGCCAAATACAGTTGAATGAAAAGTGTCCACTTTTCCTATCAAAGACAATGTACTTTTTCTAAGCATACTCACTATTCTACTCACATTGCTAAATACATTTGAAAGAGGAGTGGCCCCTTTTCCTAACAAAGATAATGCATTTATTCTTACAGTACTATTTTATATACATTGCTAAATACAATTGAAAGAGAAGTGGCCTCTTTTCCCAGCCAATATAATGTGTTTATTCTAAGCAGCTCACTATTCTAATCACTTTGCTAACTAGAGTTGAAAAATAAGTTGCCTCTTTTCCTAGAAAAGACAATGTGTTTCTTCTGAGCAAACTCACTATTCTATTCATATGGCTAGTGAAGACAATTCATTTCATTTAAGCATACTCTCTATTCTATTCTATTCACCAAGCTAAATGTATTTGACAGAGAAGTGGCCTCTTTTCCTAGCAAAAACAATGTGTTTATTTGAAGCATACTCACCATTCTATTCACATTTAAATACAGTTGAAAGAGAATTGGCCCCCTTTCCTAGCAAAGGCAATGCATTTATTCTAAGTGTACACACTATTATATTCACTTTGCCAGCTACAGTTGAAAAAGAAATGGACTCTTTTACTTGCAAAGTCAATGTGTCTTCTAAGAGTACTCACTATTCTTTTCACATTGCTAAACACAGCTGAAGAAGAATGAGAATTGACCTCTTTTCCTAGCAAAGACAATACATTTATTCTAAAAGTATTCACTATTCTACTCACTATTGCTAAACACACTTGAAAGAGAAGTGGCCACATTTCATAGCAAAGATAATTTGGTTCTTCTAAACTTACTCAGTATTCTATTCATATTGCTAAATACAGTTGAAAAAGAAGTGGCCTCTTTTCCTAGCAAAGACAATGCATTTCTGTTAAGTGTACTCTATTCTATTCACATTGGTAACTATTCTTGAAAGAGAAATGTCTCCTTTTCCTAGCAAAGTCAATGCATTTCATCTAAGAGTACTCACTATTCTATTCACATTTCTGAATACATTTGAAAGAGAAGTGTTCCCCTTTCCTAAAAAGTACAATACTTTCTTCTATATGTATTCACTGTTCTATTCACTTTGCTAAGTACAGTTTAAAGAGAAGTGGCCTCTTTTCCCAGCAAAGACAATGTGTTTATTGTAAATGAATTCACTATTCTATTCACTTTGCTGACTACAGTTGAAAAAGAAATTTCCTGTTTTACTAGCACTGACAATGAATTTCTTCTAAGTCTACTCTCTACTCTATTCATATTGCTGAATACAATTGAAAGAGATGTGGCCTCTTTAACTAGCAAAGATAATGTGCTTCTTTGAAGGATACACACTATTCTATTTATATTGTTAAATCCAGTTGAAAGAGATAAATGTCCTCTTAGCAAGGACAATGTGTTCCTTTTGTGCATACTCACTATTAACATTGCTAAGTACAATTTAAAGAGAAGTTGCTTGTTTTCCTAGCAAAGACTGTGTTTTATCTGAGCATACTTACTCTTCTAGTCACATTGCTAAATACAGTTGAAAGAGAGGTGGCCTTTTTTCTAGCAAAGACAATGTGTTTATTGTAAGTGAACTCATTACTCTTCTCATATTGCTAAATACAGTTGAAAGTGAAGTGGCCTCTTTTCCCAGCCAATAGAGTGCATTTATTCTAAGCAACTCATTATTCTAATCACTTTGCTAACAATAGTTGAAAAATAAGTGGCCTATTTTCCTAGAAAAGGCAATGTGTTCTTTCTGAGCATACTTACTCAACAATATTCATGTTGCAAACTACAACTGAAAGCAAAATGGCCTCTTAAACTAGCAAAGACAATTTGTTTCATTTAAGCATACTCTCTATTCTATTCACCAAGCTAAATACATTTGAAAGAGATAGCACCACTGATGAAAGATACAAACCTACAAATATATCATGGTCCTTTAAACAAAGAAGTACAGAATTTTAAGAAAACAACAATAAAAACAAACCACAGGCCAGGACTCACACTTGTGCACTCTAGTATTCTGCTTGCCAGTTATAGAAATGGTATGTTTGTGAGGCTCTTCTTTCAAAATTTGACACTTACTTGATAATTCTGATGTTTCAACATTGCACATAATAGTTTTAACTAATAAAATCTATTTCATTCTCTTACTATAAAGGAAATTATATCTTTTTTGTGATCACTTAGACACTATTTTATGTTTCTTATGATTAATTTCTGGTTGAAATTCTCTATCATGCAAATCTTTTAAAACCAAAAGCAAGATAACAGATTTTAAAAGAAAATTTGTATACTTTGTAATATACACTTAAAGCAACTTGTTTTGCTCCAGTTGCTTTATGCACCATATGCACTTTTGAAAATAGTTGAATTCCATCTTATGTATGTTTGTGTGTGAGAAAGAACGTCTTTTATGTATATTCAGGTGACACATGAGAAAAGAAGTTTGTCAGATATCCTGGATCTGGAGCAGCAGGTACATATGAGCCTCCCAACATGGATATTTGGGATGTGAACACAAATAATCCCCAAGAGGAGTATATGCTGTCCAGCCCTAAAGTACATTTCATGCAATAAACTAAAAGTCTTTCACATATTCACAAAACAATAAAAGAACTAAATGAATGGTAAGTCATTGATGATCCTTGTATACATGATGACTCAATATTAAGATGTTGGATGTGTTCAATTTGTAGCATAAATTCCACATACCCAAAGAAAACTTCCAACTATTCATTAAAGAAAAAGCTGTTTCTAAAGTTATATGGAAAGCAGAAAAGCAAAGAATTGCTCAAAAGGATTGTGATTATGGAGCAATAATGGACATTTAACTTGTGATGTTTGAATCCTGCAGAGATTTTGTGTGATGGGGGATGGGCTCACCTTCTCATGGAGCTGAGCTAACCTTGAGCAAAAAGGAACCATGTGTTTTGCTCCCACTTGGTTGGTGACCTCATCACAATGAAAGCAGCCTTATGAATTAACCATCTTCTTTGCTAATGGTTTCATGATAAATGTCAATGCCATGTGACTTCTTGGTTACTGTTGCATAAAACAAAATGGAGACATCCATAACTTCCTGCTGCCACTGAGGCCTCAGGGGATTATCCCATTTATACTAAAGAGGTGACACCAGACTACTATGGTGTGTGTTAGCTTTGATTTATTTTTTTGACACATTTCATTATCTGATATATTTAATGGATTCAAGAGGGAAGTAAATTTTCTTAGCCATGTATGTGCCTCCAAAACTGACAAGGCATTAAAGAAATCTGGCACTTTTAAATTGTTAGGTTTTGAAGGCTCATGTAAAATTTGCATCAGTCTAGAACCATTCTTGGCCAAGCACAGGCCCTACCAGAACCAAAAGAAATTAACATCATGTGCTAAAAAAGCTGTTGCCAGCAGGCAAGTTTACAGCTACAGGCCAGAGATCGAAGCTATGCTGGGACTTAATGTGTAGCCCCAGCTTCTCACCTGAAATCTCCAAGATTTTTTCTCTAAAGAATCCTTTGGTCCATGTTTGCTGTCTGCTTTTTCCCAATCATGCACTAAAACAATGATTTTCTTCACATTTTCTAGTCTATTCACAGGCATCAGGGAAGCAGAATACACTCCCTTTTAGACAAGTCTATCTTCATGCCTGCAAATCGTTTTTTTCTCCATTAAGGAGCCATACACTTGGGAACACCTGATCTATGTCCTTGTGGGCTCCAACTGCTGCCTATTTATCATGTTTGAGATAAACTCAGTCTTGTGGCTTTTGTCAAATGGTCAGATACTTTAGGACTTCTATTGTCATATTCTCTCCTGAATATTCTTTGCATTCTTCCCTCATTTTTTGGAGATTTTGGCTCAGAAAATTTTCAAAACACCAAGTTAAGTTAAATTTCTGATGTTATCCATTTTTATTTCTTCTGGATCACCAGGGCTGAGGTAAAGATGAACTGAAAAACAGCCATTTACATCTTACTGCTATTAATGACATGTATATAGGGCTGAATAGATGGCTCAGCAGCTAAGAACACTGGATTTTTTTGTCCAGAGGGTCTTTGTTTTCCAGCACACACAAGACAGCTCACACCTCTCAGTATCTTCAGTCATGAGGGAGCTAATACAATCTTCTGGCCACCACTGGTACCTGGCATGCAACCAGCACACACATTAGCAAAATTTATACACCTAAATTAAATTAATTTGAATTAGACAATAACACTTACATGAAGAAATCTTTTTATAATATGGAGTCACATGTATTTCTCTTTACATCATTTGCATACCTGGTGTCCAAGGAGGCAAACAGAGCACACCATATCTCCTGGGCCTGCAATTATAGATAGTATGGACCAGCTGCTGTGGGTGCTAGGTACCAAATTGGGTATCTAACATGACCAGTACTACTGAGCCAACTCTCCACCTACAAATATGTCATTATAATGCAGAAGATGAAGATGCTCCATTACTCCTTCTGTTATCTATCAATTGAAAATAATGAAAGCCCCTGCTACATGGTCATTGAAGGAGTCAATGGATATCTAGCCCTTTGTGAGTGAATTTTCCACATTGCTTCTTATTTACATGGTTAACACATTTCTCCTGATGTGGGTAAAGACAATGAAAGGTTTTGTTGAGTCTCTACTCAACAAATCAGTCTAGCCAGACTATATTAAAAATTTCTGTAATTGGAGTTATGGATCTTTCTCTTCTTTGACCTTTGAATCAGAGAATGAAATGATAATGTAAACTTTAAACAGGAACCATCATGGTTTTGAGGAACAGTAAATCTTAAAATTCGACAATGCATTAATTTCAATTGGTAAACCATTTCATATGTTCTGAATATTTTGGTTATTTTCTTTATTTTGTTAATTTAAACTTCTTAAACTTTTAACTGTGTGTATACACTTGTGCCATGGTATGCATGTGAAACTTACAAGACAACTTACAACTGTCAATTACTATTCTGTCTATGGGAATTCTAGCAATCAAATGTAGGTAGTCAAGTTTGGTTACAAGTGACCTCACTGGCCTTATTTGGGTTCAAAAATTATTTTTCTCTGTGCTAGTGTTTGGCTGTGCACACACAAGAGCCCAAGTGTAGAAATAAGAGAAAAACTTGCAGGAATAGTGTGGATATCACAGAGTGAACACAGGTCCTCAGGTTTAGTCAGACTTAGTAGAAACCTTTACACACTGAGACAATTCTCTAGCATTCATTTGTGGTTCTGAGAAAGTGTTATCAACAAGTGTCTAGTCCTCAGAATAAACTAACACAATAGAAAAAGATGGCAGTATAAATATATCTATTTGCAAGTAGAATTCATTATTCAAATTATACTGTGTTCCTCAATCCTTAGATGACAATGTATTTACAATTTGAATAGGAATATTGATGTATTGTTTCTACTAACCTTATTTGAGCACTAGTGAGCTGCCTCATTAGGAAAAAATTACTCTGGTATGCAAGGCTGGTAACCTGACCTTGATCACCATTTGAAGAGGGCCAAAAGAAACCCCACAAAGTTTTGTTCTGGTCCCAACATATGTGTCACCCATTCAAACCCATAATCACATTATACCCACCCACACACAACAGAAATACATTTCAGAAAACAAATCTCTTGTCTTACATCTCTAGATAATTCCTTTAGGAGACAATACTTCAAGATGGAGTGGCATATGGATTATAAACTGGATCATGAAAAGGCAGGAATGTCAAAGATATATACATATACATAGCACATCAAGTTATGTTATGAGATATACAGTTGATTGCTGATTATTTTGCTTTCTTATATCTCTACCAGAAAGATGAAAATGCTGCTTTGGGTACACACATGAGGTATTCAGTGTTTCTAATATTCTTTTCTATTAAGCATTTTAACATTAACATTGTTAAAATGCATTGCCAAAACAGGACATATTAGGGGTATATCTTCTACACTTGGACTTGTACTCAGGAGGCTGACACATGAGAATCATGAGTTCAAATGTAGTGCTGATGAATTACTGACATCCACGACAGGCTAAATAACAAACAACATCTAAAGGGAATTTGTGAAAGTGTGAAAAAAAAATCAGAAACAAAAACCCACTACCCTTTCATAGACACCTTTACTTGAAAATTATGATCATATACTACCAGATATTTAAATAAACAAGGGACCCTTAGATGATAAGCATCTCATTCTATATATTTCAGCAGAAAAATACCCATCAAGTCAAAGCACAACAGAAGATGAACAGAGGTGAAAGAAGGAATATATGAACCACCAAATAAACTTCAGTGAATTTGTCACATATACAGAACATTTCAATACCTACTCCAAAAGTTTCAAAACACAAACCACATTACTGTGACCTCCCATCAGAGTTTAGTGAACATAGTAAACAATTTATTTGCTTCAAGGCTATGATAACAATGAGATGAAACAAGATTTTTTTCCCTTGAAACTGAAGACAGTTTTGATGTCTAAAGGCTTTACTATATTGTTTACATGTCCAGGATTTCTCTTGTCTATGAATTCTTCCCTATTTCCTAATGTCCAGATGATATATAAAAGCTTTAAAATATTTACAGGGATAGAGACAGGGCCAAGCAGTGAAGGCGAGTTCCTGACCAGAATCCAGGTGAGGTTTTTGACAACTTCCTGTAATTCCAGGTAGAAATCCAAGAAGACTACAGGGTCTACCCTTCTTGGGAACCACCAAGCACATGCATCTATCCAAAGACACATTGACATAACAAAATAAAAATTAAAGTGAATCATTAATCATTTCCACTCAGGACTATTTTTCTTATGTAAGCGTTCATGCCTGTAACCCAGATGTTGAAGCATCTAAAGGCTTACCTACAGAATTTTTTCTTTATCATGAATTGGTTCATATAACAAAAAGTAACCATGCAGGCTTAAAAGTCAGAGAATCAATACTTCTCAGTTGTTGGTATCATTTGGAAAAGTTTAGAAAATATGTCACTGGTGGTGGATTTTGAGATATTAAAATCCTCACACCATTTCAGTTCCCACTCTCTGCTCCCTGCTTCATGTTGAGGATGTGAGCTCTGAGCTTCCTGCTTGAGCTGTTATTTCTGACACTTGTTGCCAAGCCTCTCTCTTGATGAACTTGTTTTGCTTTGGAACCATAAGCCAATTTGAGCTCTTTTTTAAAGTTGCCTTAGACATTGTGTTTTATCACAGGAAGAGAAAAGACTAGTATACATCCATAAAGTTTTACTCCTGGATGAGTTATTTTATTTAATTGAAGAGAAGTATGTTATCTAAAAGGTTGTCTTACTAATTAAATGCACAGGGTTTTGATCCATATGAGTTAGTAGGTGAAAACAAAATAAAAAAGGGCATTTTAATGCTTGAATAGATTGTTGACACTTGTCAGATTTTATCTCCACAATAAATAACCTTGAGTAACTAAATGTAAGCTTGTTGGCTAAAGATCTTACCAAATCCTTTATACTCATAGATTCCCCTTCAGTGTTAGTTCTTTCATGTCCTCAAAAACTGCTCTAATATATGAAGACTTTAACAGATTGATTAAACACTACAGGTTTCACTCCTGGATGAACTCTTTCATGGTTTCAAAGACTATGGTGAAATGCAAAGACTTTATGACACTGATTACACTCATAGGGTTACTCTCCAATATGAATTCTTTCATGCCTTTGAGGTAACTGTGACATGCAAAAGCTTTACCATGTTGCTTAGATTCATAGGGTTTCTCTCTCAGATGAATTCTTTTATGAACTTGGAGATGATTCTCTTGTGAAAAGGTTTTCTCACATTAACTACATTCATAGGGCTTCTGTCCAATATGAATTCTTTTATGTCTTTGAAGATTTCTGTGACGTGCAAAAGTTTTTCCACATTGATTACATTCATAGGGTTTCTCTCCAGTGTGAATTCTTTTATGAACTTGGAGATAACCCTGTTGTGAAAAGGATTTCCCACACTGATTACATTCATATAGTTTCACTCCAGTGTGAATTTTTTCATGTACTCTAATATAAGTGTAATCTGCAAAAGATTTACCACATTGCTTACATCCATAGGGTTTCTCTCCAGTATGGGTTCTTTTATGTATTTGGAGATAACTCTGTCGTGAAAAGGCCTTCCCACATTGATTACATTCATAGGGTTTCTCTCCAGTATGGGTTCTTTTATGTATTTGGAGATAACTCTGTCGAGAAAAGGCTTTCCCACATTGATTACATTCATATGGTTTTACTCCTGTATGAGTTATTTTATGCCTTTCAAGATTACTGTTACGTGCAAAAGCTTTCCCACACTGATTACATTCATAGAGTTTCTCTCCAATATGAATTATTTTATGACTTTGAAGATAACTGTAACATGCAAAGGCTTTCCCACACTGATTACATTCATAGGGTTTCACTCCAGTATGAATTGTTGTATGAACTTGGAGATGACTCTGTTGTGAAAAAGCTTTACCACACTGATTACATACATAGGGTTTCTCTCCAGTATGAATTCTTTTATGGCTTTGAAGATGAGTGTAACGGGCAAAAGCTTTCCCACAATGATTACACTCATAGGGTTTCTCTTGAGTATGAGTTCTTCTGTGTATTTGGAGATTGCTCTGCTGTGAGAAGGCTTTACCACATTGATTGCATTCATAGGGTTTCTTCTCTCCAGTATGACTTCTTTCATGCCTGTGAAGATAATTGGCACATGTAAATGCTTTAACAAACTCATTACTCTGATGAAAGTTTTTTTATCTGTATGGTGTAATTTTACAGTTTTGTCTAATAGCAAAGAGGAGTCAGATAATAAGGTTTTACCACTTGGTTCCCCTTATTATGGGTTCTTTTGGTTGTTTGAAGATGCCCATGATAGTTAGAGTCTTAAGTACATGGCTCACTTTCATAACATCCTTTTCCATATGAGTTTTTTCATATAAATGAAAAGAATTGGAAGAACTCAGAGCTTTACCATACTGATTACATTCAAAATATTTTCTTGGGCTGCAGAGATGGCTCAGCAGTTAAGAGTACTGACTGCTCTTCCAGAGGTCCTGAGTTCAATTCCCAACAACCACATGGTGGCTCAAAATCACCTGTAATGAGATCTGGTGCCCTCTTCTGGCCTGCAAGGACACACGCAGACAGAATGATGTATATAGAATAAATAAATCTTAAAATTTTTTTTTCCTATACTGTGAGTCAAACTACATTTGCAAAGTGAACTAGGATGAACAAAAGAATTTACACGTCATACTTAAAGGGCTTTCCTGTGGTGGAGTTTGTTGATGTATTTCCAGTGAAGCTTGAAAAACAATTAATTATAAACTTATGTCACATTCAGAAAGTGGAGACTACTACATATCTTCTCATTGTTCTGGGAAAAAGAGAGGTACATTGCTTCTTTCCTATCATATTTGTGCACTTGTCCTGTTTCCTGAGTGACATGATATTCCATTAAAGAAAGAATAACAAATAAAAGGTTTCCATATTATAGTCACACAATTTAGTTTTTTCTTCCTCATAGATATATGGTATAGGTATTCAAGTTTCTCCACAACAAAGTTCTTAACTCTAATAAACTGCCCCTCTCACTAAACTTTGGTAACTCACAACAAGTATATTAGTAACACTAGCTTTACCATAGAGTACTTTCTTATTAGAAGATTTTGGACATATGGTTATCATCCAATCAACAGTTATGCCTTTTTCTATACCTAAGTGATATAGAACTAAATGGAGTGACAGTTCTACACTCTAGTTCTCATGAGGATATGATTAAAATGGTGATATCTGTTATAGAACTGTTTCATTGTCTTCTTTCTTAAAGGAATGCTTTGAAAACACAGATCAGCTGCCTGATATTGAGGTACATGGTGTTGTGAGAATTTAGCAATCATCAATACACTTAAAGCTTTGCTTATTTACACTGCTGCTTTTCCTTGAAACTTCTAGGACCATTCAAATTCTTCTGTGAGTTCAAGACCAGCCTGGTCTACAAAGAGAGTTCCAGGAGAGCCAGGACTGTTACACAAAGAAACCCTGTCTTGGTATTCATAAGTGGATACTAGATATAAAGCAAAGGATAATCATACTACAACCCACAGCTCCAGAGAAGCTAGCTATCAAGGAGAATCTTAAGAGGGACACATGGATCACCTTGGGAAGGGGAAATAGATGAGATCTCCATGAGCAATCTGGGAGTGTGGGGGGCAATGGAGGACAGGGGATGGAGGTTGAGAACATAAGGGAATGGGATAGTCAACCTGGAACAGGGACAGAGTGGGAGAGCAAGGAAAGAGATACCATGGGAATAGGGAGAAACAGGGTGCTAGGGAATTTCACAGGAATCTACAAGGATGACCCCACCTTAGACTACTAGCAATAGTGGAAAGGGTGCCTGAACTGGCCTACTCTGGTAATCAGATTGGTGAATACCCTGTCATCATAGAGTCTTCATCCAGTAACTGATGGAAGCAGATGCAGAGTTCCAGAGCAAGCACCAGGCCAAGCTCCAGGAGTCAAGTTGAAGAGAGAGAAGAGTGATTCTATCAGCAAGGGGCATCAAGATCATGATGGGGAAACATACAGAGACAACTAAACTAAACTAGTGGGAACTTATGAACTGTGGACCAATAGCTATAGAGCCTCCATGGGACTGTACTAGGCCCTCTGCAAAGGTGAGACAGTCTTTAGCTTGACCTGCTTAAGGAGCCCCTGTCAGTGGGATCAGCATCTATCCCTGGTACCCTGGTACAAGAGTAGGCTTTTTGGAGCCCAGTGCCTATGGTGGGATACCTTACACAGCCTTGGTGCAGGGGGAGTGGCTTGAACCTGCCTCAACTGAATGAACCAGGCTCTGCTGACTCCCCATGGGTGTCCTTGCCATGGAGGAGGTGGGAATGGGGGGTGGGTTGTGGGGGAAGTTAGGGGGAAGGAGAAGGGAGAAGAGGGGCATCTGAGGTTGGAATGTAAAATGAACAGAAAATTTTTTAATAATAAAAAAAGGAAAAATTCTTCTGTGGGATATTTGTATTAGCACATGAAAATTACCTTCTGTTTCTTCTAGATCTTTGAAATTTGTCATTAATATTATGGTCTTCCCATTTGTAGCCTGAAATATAACAGAAAATGGATGATACATTATTGGAAATTATGCAAAATTTAAGTTACTATATCCAGTGAACCTAAAAACCATGCCTGACTTATTTACCAAGTCTTCCCCTTTATCAATCCAAATTACAGAAGAGCAGCAAACAGTTGTCCCCTTATTGTAAAAATTGAACAAAAATTCACAGTCTTACCTATAGCAGTGAGGTTCCTGTAGGTCTCCAGCATCACATTTTTGTAGAGACTCTTCTGGGAAGGGTCCAGCAAAGCCCACTCATCCCAAGTAAAGTCGACATGCACATCATCATAGGTCACTGCATTCTAAATTATCCCATACATGTGTACAACAGAAAGAGTGATATTGATTACAGTATAAATGTATATTTCTTTCACAATATATTTGTATAATTTTGGTGCTTGCCACACTTATTCCATGACAGAGAAGTTGTAACATAATCTTCAAGTCGGTTTAGAAAGAAATTGAAAAGGAGGTTTGCACATGACATTTATTGGCCCTTTGAATAGGATTTACCCTTCCAAGAGAAATGACTATTAACGGACATACAGAGACAACCAAATCAAGAGTACTAAGTACACATCACAGAAAATGTATTAACAATTACTAACTACAAAGAAATATGGGCAAAGCCTCATGCCTTTAACCTGAGCACACAGGAGGCAAAGGCGGGTGAATCTCATTCAGCTGGAGACTAGCCTGGTCTATGGAATGAATTCAAGATAGCCAGTGGAATATATGTGGACTCTGCCCACCCAAGAAAAAACCCTAACCAACCAAAGAAATAAAAAAGATTTCACTGATGTTCTTACAAAGAGAGATGCATTCATTCTGGCTCTGTATTCATCTCCCAGAAACTTGAAGTATCAGTTAAAACTGTAATATTAATAAGAGCTTCTTAAAAGGGAATACATGAGGTGCACAGATGAAAATATAAGCATTGTAAATGTAAGTTAAAAAAAAACATGGTAGGAGAGATGACTCAGAAGTTACCAGCACTTGTTGATCTTGTAGAGGAGACAGGTTCAATTGGAAGTACTTACATAGCTCACAACTATCCATAACTCCAATTTCAGGGGTTCTGAGACCATCCTCTGCCTACTAGGAGCACCAGGCACACATATGGTGCATGTCCCTGCATACAGGCAAAATACCATATTTATAAAAAATTTCAAAACATACATAAGTAGGAAGAATGTCACACCCCTGCAATGTAAAGACACATGACCCTCCATGTGGTGATATACTGTGTCCCCCAGTATATTGTGCATCCTAATAAACTTATCTGGGGTCAGAGGACAGAACAGCCACTAGATAGACATAGAGGCCAGAAAATGGTGGCACACAAGCCTTTAATCCTACCACTTGGGAGGCAGAGATCCATCTGGATCTCTGTGAGTTCAAAGCCACACTGGAAAGAGCCAGACATGGTGACTCAGGCCTTTAATTCCAGGACGTGAGGGCAGGGAGCACAAAGGTAGTATATAAGGTGTGAGGAGCAGGAACTAGGCTGGTTAAGCTTTAAGGCTGTGAGTAGCAGTTCAGCTGAGATCCATTTGGATGAGGACTCAGAGGCCTCCAGTCTGAAGAAACAGGATCAGCTGACAAGTTGGCAAGGTGAGGTTAGCTGTGGCTTGTTCTGCTTCTCTGATCTTCCAGCATTCACCCCAATACCTGGCTTATGGTGATATTTTATTTGTACTAAAATGTGATTTGTATGTTAATAAAGTTGCCCGGGGGTCAGAGCTATTAGGAAAGCTGGGTGGTGGTGGTGCATGCCTTTAATCCCAGCACTTGGTAGGCAGAGCTAGGTAGATCTCTGTGTGTTCAAGGATACAGCCAGCATTGGAGACACATGCCTTTAATCTCAATACCAACCATTGATTGGCCAGTGACCAGGCAGGAAGTATAGGTGAGACAAGGAGGAGAATAAAGCTGGGAAGTGGAAGGCTGAGTCAGAGACACTGCCAGCTGTCACCAGGACAAGCAGCATATGAAGATGCCGGTAAGCCACAATCCATGTAGCAAGGTATAGATTTATGGAAATGGATCAATTTAAGCTATAAGAACAGTTAGCAAGAAGCCTGCTATGGCCATACAGTTTGTAACCAATATAAGTCTCTGGGTTTACGTGGTCGGGTCTGAGTGGCTGTGGGACTGGCAGGTGAAAGAGATTTGTCCTGACTGTGGGACAGGCAGGAAAACTCTAGCTACAAACAATAGAAGACCTAGAGGTCTGTACAGACAGGCAGTGATTAGGAGGTCATGTGGTTGGGATTACAATCAATGAGAAGGCACAACAGAAACTTTATAAAAAAAGACAGACACAGGAAGTAGGTCTCTTTCAGAGAGAAAGGACCACCATGAGAGGAAGGGTAAGGTTTTTAGCTCTTAGCTCTGACCTCTTGGCTTTCTTCTTTGCATTGGTTCTGTGGTTCTTACCGAATAAGATGGTTACTTCTACATTTGGTACCCAACATGACAAGAATCCATTAAAAACCACTTGGCTTGGCTTGGCAGAAGGTCTGGTTTCCCGCCTGGTCAGCTTGACTCCCTAGCTCGGGCCCAGGTCGGCTTGGTCTCAAGCCGGACTGACCACAGCCCCAAGTGGTTACACGCAACTGGAGCTACTTGCTTAAAGCCGGTGCTACAAAAAAACTCAGGCCTGCCCTGCGGAACAGGGCCCCTGCCTGTAAAGCCAATGCACGTGGTCAGAGTTTAAGGAAGCCAGAGCCCAGGCTTGACTTGACTCAAGCGGGAACACGTGGCTGGATTTAAGCTTTTAGCCAGAACATGTGGCTATGCTTTCTTGCTCTGCCTTCCTCTCTCTCTCTCTCTCTCTCTCTCTCTCTCTCTCTCTCTCTCTCTCTCTCTCTCTCTGGATTTACACCTCGGACACTAGGTGGCTGTTTTGAAAGTCTCTTGGATTTCTACTGTTCTACACAGACTTGGTAAGTCAATTAAGATATCAAATATTTTAAAGGAAACTATTTAAAAGAGAATATTATTCCACATTAAAAAAATTGGTTTTAAGCCGGGCGGTGGTGGCACACACCTTTAATCCCAGCACTCGGGAGGCAGAGCCAGGCAGATCTCTGTGAGTTCGAGGCCAGCCTGGACTACCAAGTGAGTTCCAGGAAAGGCGCAAAGCTACACAGAGAAACCCTGTCTCGAAAAACCAAAAAAAAAAATTGGTTTTATTTGCACATTGGAAGAAAATTGGGCTTTGTTTGCAATTTTACACAGTCTGAAATGGAACAACTATATGAGAAGACTAACATTGATCAAATTATGCATGTTATTACTTTTCTTATCGTCATTTTACTATTTAAAAAGATAGTCAATTTAAGTGCCAGGATAACAGTTTTAGAAAAACCTGTTAAACCTGTAAAAATGAATTATAGAGAAATTCAATTTCAGACAAAAGAAATTAACAGTGAAGTTGTTTCAAGACTGGATCATAAGGTTACAGAAAGAAAGCCTGTTTTTACACAATCACCCTTAATTTATCCGGTAGCAGTTCAGCAGCTACTTGGTGAAGAGAATGAACAAAATACTTGGATTCTAATTGAAATGTTAGACTTACGAAGATTTAAGGAGGCAGTAGCATCTTATGGCATGCATTCCTCCTATGTAAAGCAAATGTTAAACTCCTAGTCAATATATAATAGAATTTTACCACAGGATTGGTAGGAGCTGGCACAGGCTGTTCTGGACCCCGGACAAAAGCTCCAGTGGCAAATATGATTCAAGGAGGAGGCTAAAAACATAGAAAAACAATGGAGTGATAAAGGAACACAAGTCTGCCAGGATCAGCTTATTGAAGAAGGCCAATATGCTTCAGTACAAACACAATGTTTAAATGATGACCAAACCCTAATTTTATGTCAAACGGCAGCCTTGAATTCATGGGACAGAGTTAAGGAACCAGGAAAAAAAACTGAGTCATTTACAAAGGTTATACAGGACCCAAAAGAATCTTTCACAGATTTCTTACAAAGATTGACTTCAGCAGTATAGAGAATGGTCCCAAATTCAGAGGCTAGTCAGATAATAATCGAATCTTTGGCCTTTGAAAATGTGAATGCAGCATGCAAAAGAATAATCAGGCTGTTAAAGGCAAGATCTGCACCCTTGGAAGATTGGATTAGAGATACAGTTAATGTTGAAGCTCATGACCATCATACTATGTGGGTAGGAGAAGCAATCTCAAAAGGTTTGAGGAATGTTAGATATTTTGGATGTGGAAAGCAAGGACATTGAAAAGGGACTGTAAAAAGATCATTCCTAGAAACAATGTTTCTTCAAGGAACAATGGCAACAGAATGGCTCTTTCTTCTGGAGTATGCACAAGGTGTGGTAAGGGAAAACACTGGACCAATGAATGTAGATCAACAAGGGACAGGCAAGGTAATCCTTTGCCTCAGTCCTCCGGAAACTCCCAGAGGGGTCTCAGTCAGGCCCCCACAGCAAATCCAGTTCAAACCTTTCCTGCAGTTATAGAGGAAACCCCTACACAGAGCAATTAAATAACCAAATGCCTATTGGAATAAATCATGCTGGTCAGAATGATGAAAGAGAGAGAATAGAAAATTCAGCAGAAAACATAAAGAAAATTATTTGGCAAACTTCTATTAATGAACAAAGACCAAAATTAACAATAAAAATAAATGGTGTTTTGTTGTCTGGTCTGGTAGACACAGGTGCGGACGTCACCATAATTGCACCAGAATTTTGGGATCCAACTTGGCCTCTTCAGGAGGTAAACATTCAAATGATAGGAATTGGGACATTATCTCAAGTGAAACAGAGTGCAAGATGGCTCGAATGTATAGGTCCAGAAGGACAGAGAGGAAAATTAAAACCATATATGGCTAACATAGCTATGAACCTGTGGGGTCAAGAATACTCAGATTAACATCCCTCCAATCTCAGAAACAAATCATATACTAGCACATGTTTCTGAGAGAAATATTAGATGGCATTATTCTGAGTGGTCACCAGCCGTCCATATTATATAAGAACAGGGCACAACAACTGATGATCTCCCAAAGACACCAACAACTCTACCTTTAAAATGGTTAACAGACAAGCCTGTATGGGTTCAGCAATGGCCTTTAACAACAGAGAAACTACAGGCTTTAGAAGAGCTGGTAGAAGAACAGTTAAATAGTCAGCATATTGAAGAATCAACCAGTGTAGATGTAACCAACCTTCTTATTAAATAAGAAACACAGTTCCAATGCAAAGAAGAAAGCCAAGAGGTCAGAGCTAAGAGCTAAAACCTTACCCTTCCTCCTGCAGTGGTCCTAACTCTCCGAACCAGAGCTACCCTTGTGTTAGTCTTTATATAAAGTTCCTGTTCTGCCTTCTCATTGGTTGTAAACCCAACCACATGACCACCTCGTCACAACCTGTCTTATAGGCCTCCAGGTTTTCCATGATTGGTAGTGAGATTAAAGGCATGTGTATACAATAATGGCTGTATCCCTGAACACACAGAGACTTACCCAGCTCTGCCTACCAAGTGCTGGGATTAAAAGCATACGCCACCACTGCCCTGCTTTCCTATGGCTTGCTAATAGCTCTGACCCCTGGGCAACATTATTTATTAACATACAAATAACATTTTAATACAAATAAAATATCACCATAAACCAGTCCTTGGAATTCTCCTGTATTTGTTATTAAAAAGAAATCTGGTAAGAAGAGAATAGTAACAGACCTTGGAGCAATTAACAAAGTAATTCAGCCAATGGGCTCTCTACAATATGGAATTCCTTTGCCTACTCTGTTACCAAAGGGATGGCCTCTCATAGTTATTGATTTAAAAGACTGTTTCTTTTCAATACCTTTACAAGAAAAAGACAGAGAAAGATTTGCTTTCACAGTGCCTACTTGGACTAGTTCTCAACCGGTTAAAAGATTTCAATGGAGGGTCCTCCCACAGGGAATGTTGAATAGCCCAACTCTGTGCCAATATTTTATACAACAACCATTGGAAGTGATACATAAAAAATTTCCTAAATCTATAATTTATCATTATATGGATGATATTTTACTAGCGGACCCAAATGCAGATACTTTAGAAAGAATGTTTGAAGAAGTAAAGAAGTTTGCATTGCAGGGGATTAC